ATGGAGAGAGTCAAACGCAATCAAGAACACATTAGCTCGGTACTCAAAAGAAAGGAATGGTTTAAAATAACATTAAACGTGTTAAAGATACATTGCTTTCTAACCAATGATAAAATCTCTAACCAATAAAACACCACCACCAAGTAGCTCTTCCTGCCATTTGAACTCTCTCTGCAACCTAAGTTTTAACATATTAGTACTGGAATTTAATTAACTACTTTCTTATTTTTCAGCAATTGCAGTGCTTGGTTTGTATTTTCAATTTCCCCCCAACTTCTTATCCTACTACATTATTTCCATGTTTGGATGTTGATTGTTCTAGATGACACAAATCAACAGCCAGCTAACTTGTACTGGAAGCTGGTGTGATACAATTATTAACATCAGAAACTGGTAATTTGTATTTGTTGACATTATCATTACTTGATTCTTGATACCCTTTTCACCCTGTAGGTTTTGTACAAAGAGGGATTGGGGAAAGGTACCCCAACACCAGTCACTCCTGAGATGAAGAGAGTCAAGCGCAATCAAGAGTTCATTAGCTCGGTACATTACCAAAAAACACCCCAAAACTGTTCTAAAATATAACATCCTAACAAACTACAGAAATCTCTTCTCTAGTATCTAAAATGATACTCTTTTCCCGAAGTAAAATACTGATCGTGATATAAAAAACTTACCTTTTACTGATAAAATAATTCTGATATTAATATTAATAGTCTGACCATAGAAGTTGAAAAGTTTTCATAACCTTGCAATGATGTATCCAGGACTCTATCCAGACCTGCTCTGAATCTGGTTCATGCAACATTCTTGAGCCAGGGCTGACTGTATCATCCTCATCCAATCACATGCCAGTGGGGAGCCTGGGTGAGGGGGTCATGCCACTCGGCTGTTGATTTCACAAGATGGCACAGCAGAGAACACTTAGGCTGGAGATGACAAGATAATATCAGTGCTATTCCTTTATAAAGAGGTATTTTGATGACAGGGTGAATCTAGAGATAATGGCTCTGAAATAGCCCATGCGGCCTGTCAGTGCGCAGATTCAGCATTCAGAAGCTCAGCGTTCATGGTTCAGCTCTTGCAGTCTGGAGTAGCTGGGGAAGCTGCAGGAGTGCCAAGTGCCTCCTGTATCTTATCCACAGCAGAGATCTCCCCACAGCGCAAGTTCAGTGGCCCTGTGCAGAAATAGGCATGCTAGACATTATCAAGGACTTAGTGAGTGACCAGTTCTGCTTTTCCATAGATGAACATGCAACACCAGTGTGAAAAACATGCAGGCCAAGAGATCTTCTAATCCGGCTGCATGGTTTTATTGAACAGCACCACCACCAAGTAGCTGGCCTTGTAAAACACAAGTTACCTTGGAAAGCATTATTGAAAAGGTGCCTAGAAATTGGACCATGATTTTACTTGAAACAATTTTCCTGGGAACAGCCATTTTGTAAAAGTTACGGATGTTGCCAACTGGATAGAACCCTTATCTTTAAAATAACATTTATCTTTAAAATTAATATTTACTGTATTGATTACTTTACCTACTTAATTTGCTCTTACATGTTTGGTGCCTTTGGTGTTGCCTTTTTCAATTGTCTTTACCAGGACATATCACAGTTTCCTTTTTGTAACTTCTTGCAGTGCATCTTTTATATATTGCAGGTGATAATCAAAGAAATAGGCAAGTCAGCCTGTCAGTCTAGAAGTGGGAAGACACCAGTGGATATTGTAATCCTTCACACTTCTGGTTTCAATGGGACCTAGTCTCATAGAATGTGTGGAAGATTGTAGGCATACACTCCTATATTGTCTAGGCTGGAAAAATTGTATTTGGAAATTTGTTTCATTTTTATCTGTCAGGTTTATCTGTCAGATATGTGTGTGTGTGTATTTGTATATATTCATCTCTACTTTTCATTGTCTCTCCACCCTAGTATTACTTCAAACCATTGTTTGAGTTCCATTTTATGATTTTTGGATACTTTTTAAAATCTTCAGGTCTTGTATAAAGAGAATTTGGGGCAAGCAACCCCAACTCCTGTCACTCCAGAGATGGAAAGAGCCAAACGCAATCAAGAAAACATTAGCTTGGTATTGAAAGAAAAATAAAATGACTTAAAAAAAAAAAGAAAAAATAACACATCTGCTCAATCTTGTCCTGCATCTAATTTATCTCAATCTTACCCATTTTCATATTCCTAAAAAACCACTCCTTTTGTTTTCATTTTTGCTTTTTGAAAAATATTTTTCTTTTCTCTTTTTGATTTTTGCTTTATCCAATAACGTTTAACTGTTTTGTTCTTGAGTTCTTTACCCAACTATGCCGTGATGAGTATGCTTAAACAATAACACAGCTTAACACAATGGTTCACCAACAATCATCTAATCTTTGATTTTTGGACACTTTCTTGTATGCTGTTATAGGTATTGTACAAAGAACACTTGGGAAAAGGAACCCCGACATCTATCACTCCAGAGATGGAGAGAGCTAAACGCAATCAAGAAAACATTAGCTCGGTATTTCCCAGGAGGACAAATCAATGAACTAGAATATATAACCTTTTAACATCTAAATAGTATAATCATTACTGTATTCAGTTTAAAAAACATTTCCCAACTATTAACTTTATTAATATTATTACGTATTTGCCATTTAAAATACTAAACTGTAACCTAAACATATTTTTCTAATTGTTTCTTTGTTTTTCTACTTGCTTTGAACTTATATTTAATACTTACTTTAAGGATTTTATAATAACCATTGATTTCAAATAACATCTTAACAGTCTCTTTAAAATTATATTTTATGTCTTTAATTGATTTATGTAGTGCAGACTGAAATGGCTGGGTTCTGTGTACTGGATCTTGGAGAAACAGACTGTTTTCTATATCCGTTCCAACTCATGAGCGGGTCTGACCAAGGGCTGCGGAATTCAAGCTGTGGTAGATGAGTTGGGCCTGCTACATGCTACCTGGGCTCCTCTGAGGAAGCTAAATTAGATCTTTAAACAAGGCTTTTCTGATCTGTCCTGTCCCCTTCCTTATGTTCTATGCTCCACACTTATTCCAAAATTCAGCAAATAAAAAATAGATAGGCACCCTTGTCTAGGGATCACTTGGAATACTGGAAGTTCTGGTGGATATTCAGAATTTCTTCACCTATAAGGGTTTTCCTTATGGAAATGATTTGGATAAAATTAATTGGCTGGCCTTGTTTTGTGTAAAATTTAAGTATATCCTAGTACTTATTTCTAAATTTGTGTATATAAATAAGCATATGCTGATTCATATTCTATGGGCCTTGACCCTAGTTCTTTTAAAGACTTAACAATGTTCCTAATCATAAACATTCCTGAAAAAAAATTAGGATTGAATTTCTGATTGTTATGTCAGTGTAACCTCTTATAATCTAAGACTTGAGCAACCTATGGCTTTTTTGAGGATTTGGCCAACATCTCCATCAGCCCTATCCAACATAGCCAATGGTGAGGGATCATGGGAGTTGTAGGCCCAATCATCTGCAGAATTACAAGTTGCCAAGTTAGATGATAATGATGCCTGTTCATTATCATCAAAGCCAACACACCTGGGATGACCAGATGGTGCTGAAAGTCTTTTCTTGTCCATATGTACTAATCGGACTGTTCCATTAAGGCTGCTGAGCCCAAAAGTTTATTACTGATCAGTAGGAAGACTTGTATACTGCTTGTGCAGGACCTGATCAAAGAAAATGTTGCAGAGACATTTACAGTGTAGGAGGCAGTAGAAAAACAAAATGATTGCCCACAACAACATGATGACCCACTCTTATGGGGTGAATGTGGGTCATCATTGAACCATGTGTTATTCTTAAAGATTATCATCATGTCTGAACACAGCCAAGACAGCAGAACTATGATAGAAACATAGAAATAGTGAGTCAGAAGGGGCCTCTCGGGCCACCCAGTCTGACCTCCGGCTTCAGGTGGTTCCACTAATGACATGCCTACCATGTGCATATCCAGGGTGTTCAAGGATAGGCTGGACATGATGACAGTTTTCAAGTCAGCAACAGTGTTTTTCATGCGTTGTTCATGGTTAACAATCCATGGCTAGATAGTTCAGCTGGGTCCAGACAAAGTGATAACCCACATTTCTACAATAACCCATGCTTCAGCAAGAACCCACACGCAGGCCATAATCAACCCTTGAGTATGGGTTATTGTGTTGTCTGAACCCAGTCAATCTCTAATAGCAGATGACCAGAAAGGCACATGAACAAATCATTTCCACCTGCACACTATTATTTTCTTCTGGCAGAAGTCGCGTTTTTCTTGTGAAAGGGGCCTTGGTAGAGCCCTGACCTTCAGGAGACCTTGTGCAGAGTGGGAAGGACTGTCAGTGGAAGGGATTGCTGAGTAGACTTGGTGCACATCTGGGGATGCTCTTTGCAGGACATGGATCTTGACTAAGTGGTGCCCAGAGCATTACAGATGTGCAGTGTTATGTCAACATTAATGTCCTTTGCATAACTGGAACAGCCTGCAGACTTAGGCTTAACTTCTTGCAATGCCTAGAAATCATTAGTCCTACAGTGCCATTTTTCTAAGATTCAGGGCAACAGATAGTTTGTAGGATCCATGGCTTTCAACCTTACAATCATTCCTGGATTTTGTGTTATGGCAAATCCAAAGTGTTTAAACTCCCAAAGAAGAGATTTTGAAGTTAATAAGCAGAGAATGGAGGAACTGACTGTTCAACATGTGAATTTTGAGAGAGAATGATTTTGTTCTATGTTTAGGTATTTGATGCAATCATTTTCAGAGAACTGAGCTGGGTTGTTCTAGTGCAATATTGTACTGTACATGTGTGTTGCAATCCTGTTCTTACTTAGCTGGGGAAAAGCCAAGCTGAACTTAGCTGGACTAACCCCTGAGTTGGTAAACGGCGAGCTAATGGAGCAGGAGGCAGGGTGTGTGGTAGAGGATGGGTCTCTGCTGGCTTGTTTTCCAGTAATTTCTTGGAGAGGCTGCCTTTCCACTTTCTTGTGGAACTTGTGCATCTTCTTTTGCAGTTCAGCCTTACCAGCCCTTCCGCCTCTGCAGCCTTTAGCTGAAGCACCCCACGTGGGGTTCCCTTGAGGATAGCTTAACAGCTTCTGCTGGGATGGAATGGGGTAGCTGCCCCTTGCCAGGATTGGTGCTCTAGAAGGGGGTTCTCCCTGTGTTTGGTCCCTGGGAGTCTTTGGGATCCTGTTCAATGTGCTGACTTCCACTGGAACAATTTGGGAGCTGCTTTCCTTTCATTCTTTTACAGTCTTTGGTGGCAACTAACCAAAGTCTCGACTTTCTGGAAATGCCGTAAGGATGCCGTGTTTACAGTGGGTTTCATTACCTGGCATTAAGCAGGGTTGTTTGACATTGTACTGTGCACCTGTGTTGCAATCCTATTCTTACTTAACTGGGAGAAAGCCCAACTTAACTTAGCTGCACTAACCTCTGATTAGTCACACACAGGATTGCACTGCTAGTAGTCCTTTTCTCTGTGGATGGACAGGGGGCTAATGGTGGAGCATTTGCTTTGGATGCAGAAGTCCTAGAGCCTTCAAAGGCAGAAATTTTAATCCCTCTAGTTACCAGTTAAATGGATAAGGTAGTAAATGAAGCAAAAGGCCTCCATTCCAATACTAGGCTAGCTGGACACAGAGCCCTGCCTTATTTTGTTGCTGTTGCTTGGAAAGTTACCTACTTAGAATCCGTTTGATGAGTCAGGAATCTAAATAACATGGATAAAATATTGCTCTTACTTTTACAAGAACGGCTTAAAGCCAGCATGCCTTTACAATGCCGAAAGGCTACGTAGGCATATTCTTGTGAGGTGCTCGTCAGTACTTAACACACTGTTTGCCTCTGTCTTCAGCACTTCATTCCTTCCTCATTCCATGTCACTTCAACATGAAACCTCTCTTAAAAACATGTATTCTGCTTGGGCTGAGCCACATTTACTCACATTCTCTCCTTCTGTCAGGTTCTCTATTCTGATAGTTTCCGGAAACAAGTGCAAGGTAAAGCAGCCTTTGTCCTGGATACCCCTGAAATGAGACGTGTTCGGGAAACACAGCGACACATTTCCACAGTAAGTATGGCTTTTTCTGAGGGTCAAAGAAACTGCACACGTGGACCATCCATAGCATTATATTTGTCAATGCACCTTAACACGCACATGTTCTGAGCACAGTGTTAAAAGGCAATGCAGAAATAAATTAGCTGTGCTGGGACAGAGCTTTCAGGAAATGAACATACCTAAACAACTCAAGGTCGTTCTGAAGCAGGAAATGATACAAGGTGTCATGCTGCAATGTGGACAGTCTGAGACAAGGCAGAGGCACTGGGACCGGGAACAGAACGTAAGGCAAGGCAGAGTCCAGGCACAAGGTTTATGACAAGTCCGATAGCAGAGGCCAAGCTGTAGTAACCAAACAGGCCAGGGTCAGGAACTAGGTGTGCATATCAGGGCAGAACAAGGAACAAGCCAAGAGCTTGTTGAGAGCGGGAGGACCAACAGAGGTGCAGGTACCTTGGACAGGATGCGTGCTGATCTTATTGGCTGGATATCTCTACTTGTAACCTGCCCAGGGAGTCTTGTGGCTAATGGGGCATGATCAAAATCTGTTGGATGGATGGATGGATGATAGATAGATAGATATAACTAAGATACACAGCAAGATGCAAGAGACACAGTGAGATGCAGGAGGCAACAGGAACCAAATGCAGCAAGGGGAGGAAGGATGCAGGAGGTGAACCACAGCCAGCAGTCAAACTTGCATTGCTGAGGTAGCACAGCAAGGCAGAAGACATGGCAGGGCCAGGCAGGCAGGATGCGGGCACAGCAGCAAACAGTCCTATGATGCTGAGGCAACATGGCAAGGCAGAAGATACACAGGAAGACGCAAGGGGTAGGCAGAACAGCAAGCTGGAGGGTCTGTGTTGCTGGGGCCAGTTCTGGCGGAAAGAGCTTGCTCCTACGCTGCTCTTCCCCCAGGACTCCCAGCAGAATGAGGGGTCCAGCAGGCCTTGGAGCTGATCCTGCAAATACAGTGGTGGCGAGGTCCTGCAGCTCTGACTTAGGATGTCAGTGACCAGAATGGGTGCATCATTGTCTTGAAAATTCCAGGTGAAATATCATGAAGACTTTGAAAAGACCAAAGGCAGCTTCACGCCTGTAGTTACTGACCCCATAACAGAGCGTGTAAAGAAGAACATGCAAGACTTCAGTGATATCAGCTACAGAGGCATTCAGAGACGGGTTGTGGAAATGGAGCGGAAACGGATAGATCAGGATCAAGAACTGAATAACCTCACAGGTATTCAGACTTCCTGCTGTGCTGTTCATGTGTGGATGATTTCTATTGGTAGAGGATTATATTGATATTACAGCCAATACAAACAGTCACATACTTGCACCTTGTTAAATTGCTATCACTTTGATATCTTTATTACCAAGCGGTTTCTAGTCAACTAAATCTATTTGGACAGCACACCTTCCTTTGATACAGCCACGGAATGGGGATGAGAGGACCCAGCCTCGCATATTCAGGAGAACGTACTAATTCACATGCAGCCTGCTCACACTGGTATTATTTATTCTTCCCACCCTCCTACTGTAACCTTTGGATTGGGCTTGCAGTGCTGTACTCCATGTAGAGCTGCCCTTGATTGTTGCTGAAAAGGCTCTGCTGGTATAGAATAGGAAAACAGATCCTCTGTTTGGAGGTGGGAGAGCAGGACTGCATTCCACCAGAGACTGCCGCTTGGATGAATGCAAATAACACACTCTGCTACTGAGCTATGGGCCATTCCCTCATGGTGTGATCTTTTATATTGGTCAGCATGGTGAGGCTGTAAAAGCAAAAGTGTCTTTCCCATTTATCAGGCATTCTGACCAAATCCCATATGAACTGAGAGGTGTAAAGTGTTTGCTGTATGTATCATTTACCCTGTAGAGTCCAATATTCATTTTTGTGACTCTTAGCTTTTTAGCTTTAGAAGCAAAGAATAAAAACTTGCAAACACTCTCATGCACGGTGTCGTCACCACAGTGTGCGTGTCTTTTGCAGGGCTTCGTGTGTGGCGTACGAACCCTGGATCAGTCTTTGACTATGACCCAGCAGAAGACAACATTCAGTCAAGAAGCTTACACATGCTTTCTGGTATGTTACACAGTCTGTGACATTCTGTGACTTACTGTGGATCAGTGCAAGCCCTCGTATTGCTTTAGTCCAGCCTTCCCCACCCTGATTCCCTGAAAACGTTTTGGATAACTCCTAGCATTCCTGACCATTTGCCCTGCTGGCTTGAGTTAATGGGAGCTGAAGTCCAAATCAGAAGTCCAGTCAGATTTAGTCAGAGTAGACCCAGTGAAATCAATGGGGGCTTGAGTTAGTCATGAGTCCCCAGGCTATGCGGAAGCATGCAAGTACTCTAAATAACCAAATGAGTTGACAGACATACATTTGAATCCAATTCCTGCAGTCCACAATGTTGGGAAGGGCTGCTTATAAGTCTTATAGATTAACTCTCCCCAAATATAGCTTTAGGACATAATCCCGTTCATGCACAAAAGTTCTACAACATCCAGCATTCTTCAGCCAGACAGGCACTGTGGCAGTTGTAGGACATGTATAGGACTGAGACCTTTCTTTCGAGATTCACAACATCACCTTTCTGACTAAGCATGCTGCTGTGAGAAGTCAGACATGCCACCTCAGTACCATTTCTATCTCTTTGACCCCAGTCCAAGCCCAGCGACGCAGCCGTGAGCAATCCCGCTCTGCCAGTGCGCTCAGCATCAGTGCTGGTGATGAAAAATCTGAGCATTCAGAGGCTGCTGATCAACACCTGTCTTACTACAGCAATGGAAGCTTTTTCCCCACGACAACAACAGGTACAAGGGGCTGAATGCTGCATCAATACCACGGCTCTCTCTAGGGCGGAAATCAAAGCAAGGGAGCGGATGCCCTATAATTGGCATCTCTACAGACTGGCCACCATTGCAAGACATGCAAAGAGGGGCAGATGCAGCTCGGGAGCGATGTACCAGGCTGGCAAGGCAGAATGATGCAGCAGCTGGGCTGCTCTGGAATCAGGTCGCACTTCATGGGTGATGCTTGCTAGACTAATTGTTAGTTGACAGGCATCCAAACAAGTCAGAATGGCTAAACAGAAAGCAGTGGATAATTCAGTGCAGACAACTGCATCCTCTCTCTCTCTCCTCTTTCTCTTTTTCTTTCTCTCTGACATAGGGATTTTCTTGTTCTTCAGTTACTATATTTAAAGCTTTTTGTGCTCTGAGAGTTGACTCCTCAACTGTTTATCTCAGGACAAAAATGCAACCGTGGTAGCATTTGCTGGCCAAACCAGAAAAAGGCAGAGTTAGGACACCAGCAGAAGACAGCTCTGCACACCAATTTCTTGGTTGAATTGTTTACATAAGAAAAAAAAGATGCCTTTTCCAAAAGTTATGCAGTTACATAGTCATTATTCTGTGTTGTTTCACACAAACCTGTCCTAAATACCTCACCAACCTCCAAGTGCCATTTAAGAGCTTTTTGAATACCTACTCAAATTTTCAAGGAGAACCAAGTCTTCTATCGTTTTGTTAATATTCAAAATTTGTTTCCTTTTCTAGTGGAGTACAAACATGCTAAAACTGTAGAGCTGCCACAGCAGAGATCATCTTCTGTTGCCACCCAGCAGACAACAGTATCTTCGCTCCCCTCTCATCCATCCACTGCAGGGGTAAGCAGAACCAGTTGCCACTGAGCAGAGAGACGGCAGCGTCTACATGCAGGTTACCTCTCTGAAAGGGGTGTATGTATGCAAAAGGATACGGTGTTGGAGAGAAGGCTCTTTATCTGCATATCTAGTATTGTTACCTTGAATGCTTTGGGTGGGAGGGTGGTGATGTCTTTGCCCCCCTCTGTTCATAGGTGGCACTGCGAATGCTGCTGCTTCCCATCACTGGTCTCTTTGGCAGAAACGTGTCTCTGTGGCCCAAATGTGTAGCGCTGCCAGCTTAGCAGACTTAACGCAACCCTTTAAGTGCTTTATCCCAACAAGTGGCATGTGTGATAGTAACCAAAGACATTTCTTCTCCTTTTGTATGATTCTAACAGAAGACCTACCGTGCCATGTATGACTACACCGCAGCAGACGCAGATGAAGTATCCTTCAAAGATGGTGATACGGTCGTCAACGTCCAAGCCATTGACGAAGGCTGGATGTACGGGACTGTGCAAAGAACAGGCAAGACAGGCATGCTGCCGGCCAACTATGTAGAGGCAGTTTAAGTCAGAACAGACTTAAGCCACTTTCCATGAAATGCAGCGACCGGGGCAATGAAAAGGCACTTGACACAGCATCACTCCACTGTAACCCATAACACTTTCTCCAGTGCCACCTTGTTCTGTTCTGTTGATACACATTCTTTGTCATCCAAAATGTTCAGCAAACATCCCACATCAGAACCAAATTCTTAAGATTTTAGTTACAGAGCAAGGTGAATGACATCCTACCAGTTTCCACCACTAATTTGAATTAACTGGATTTTCACATTCAAACTAGAGTTGCTTCAGTCTGACTCCCAGGTGTTGTCACTCTTTTTGTTTGGAATCAAGCTGAATTTCCACCCTACACATTTTTTTGAAAAGAAAACCTAATGGTGTTGGCTTTAGTGGTTTCTTATCAAGCTTTCTCCTTCGATGTCCTAAAAGGAGCTGAATGTATTAATTTCTGTTTCAAGTACGCAACTATGTAACATCTCAAATAAGGCAAAATGTGGAAAAGCCTCTCCTTTTGTCTGCTTAGAGAACGCTGCTGCATGCCTTTTTCATCTGCGAGTTCTTGGGTCACAGTGCTGTAACTCCCTCTCAGATTAGTAACTAATAAATTTCATGTTTCTGCAGATCTGATTGTGTGCTCCATTTATACTGGGGAAAAAACCAAACTACCTCTGTCTCCTCTAGATAAATATTAAATTATAACTCTGGTGCTTCCTGCTGATAAAGGCTTTCAACAAGTCCCTCTCACATGCACACACCTGCAGCTGCCAGTGCTACATCTTTAGTTATTCCAAATAAGAAGCAAGTACTTTCCCAGCACCACACTCAAAACCACCAGTGGGTTTCACCAAGCAAGAGCAATGATTCTGAGGGATCCTCACTGAACAGGGTGAGACGTGAAACTGTGCGATGCTGCCAAGGGTATGATAAGCATCTCCACCCCCTGGGACCTCAGATTCCTCTGCTTGCAGCTGACCAGAAAACACCCGCCATGTCCTACAGAAGCATCTCTTGTTCAGTGAGAAGGAAAGCCACACAGTAACCTCCTATGATCAATAGCATGTTCTGTGTGGAATAGCCTCTACATGGAGCAGATTGACAAGACCATAATATTTGAGCATCATAATGCAAGGATACAGAAGAATCTACGTGTGAAAAAAACATTTCACTCAATGAGAAAATGGGGACATTTGCAACAGGGAGAATAAAAGAGGTTTGAGGGGGGTTTGTTTTAATAAAACAAGCATCTAGAAAAAATCTAACACAAAGATCCATATTAATGTATTTAGGGATTATGAAATGCGCCATAATACCATTTATGATTTTCTCCATCTGAATGAAGTTTGTGTAATGTCAAATGCACAACACATAAACTGTAATGTTTGTTTAAGTACATATCAACAACCTGCCCCTATATTTTGCATATAGAATAACCAGCATTTCTAAATTTTCAGCCATGTATTTTTAGTTTCATTTAGAAATGAAGAAAAAGGGGCAAGACACCAACACAAACAGGCATAAACTGAGACCAAACACATTAACTTTAGCATCTTAGCATTGTTTTTCGACGTCATTTTTTCATGCTATCAACAAAATGTCCTGGATTCCTCTTCTTGGCACTCGAGAGACCACCTGGAATAACCTTTGACCTTATGGCTATTGGCAATATAAAAAATGAAATAAGTACATAAATAACTGCAATGAAACACAGGGCATTTTGTATTGCAATACATTTACATTTTATGGTGGTAATAAAGTAACACGATGACCATTATTAAGCCAGTTCAGAGATGTTAGGTGCCAGGCATTTTTTGTATGTGAGAAGCTGTAAAGGCAGAAGAGCTCAATTTTTCCCATGCAGGTGACAGTCATAGAAGATTTAGCACAGGGTGGTCCAGCCCATGGCCCGTGGGCCATTTGTGGTGCCTGAGGCCTTGTTCTGCAGCCCTCTTACCGCTCGGAATCCCCTTGTCCCCCCCCCCCCCGCCGCCGCCACTCCAAATCCCAGTGACAGCATGGGCATGATTGCCGCAAGCTCCCCTGAGGCTCAGGAAGAGGACAGTTTGGGCTTGTGGCCTTGCAAGAGCTTGTCCAGCATGCTTCATGCTGCTCCAGCTGATGGATACAAAGATGCTCGGGAGCCAAGCACCTTTGCGCTCATCAGCAGCAGCAGCCTGGACATGCTGGCAAGAGTTCCTTATCCAAGGAGGAAGGAATAGCTGTGTGTGTATGTGGGGGGGGGGGCACATGAGAGGGTTTGTGGATGGGAGAAACAAGAAAGGGATGGGCGACCCCAGAGAAATGGTCATTGTGCTTGGGCTATTGTCAGAGAAGGAGCTGCCTGTGATTCACACGTCCACCATGCATTCTTTTTCATTCAGGGTAATTCATTGTGCAGCCCCAGGATCTGTGTTGAAGTCCTCATGTGGCCCTCAGGCTCTCATCCTGGTATAACATGTAGGTCTACTTACATGTGAATTACTCGACAAAATGAGAGACTGGGCCAAAAGGCAGGCTGCTTGCCTGTGCCTGTCGTTCTTTGCATGCTCATCTGTGCATTCACACGTGGGCTTTTCTGCATAGCGCAAGGCCTCGCTCTGAAGTGAGCTGGAGGCCCCCATGCCTTCCACATCCCAGGAGAAGAGGGGGGTCCTGCCCACTTCCTCAGTTGTCTTGGGGACCATGCCGTGTCCAGGTGTCTGAGCTGAGGACGTGATGTCCAGCCCCGCTGAGTGCCTGGGAACCCCACGTGTGGCAGAGATAAGAGTCAAGGCAACTGATAAGAGCTTGAGCCACAGTCTAGGTATTGGGGGGTTTTCATTAAGAAGGGCCAAGATGCATTATCAAAAGCTTTCTCCAGATCCAGATTTCTTCTTCTTGACCGATTCAATTGCATCAGTCACAAAACAAATGTTACCTTTCATAAATCTTTTTGGAACAAATATGGTCTGGTCTGATCTGTTTTTGTATACATGTTCTTAGTCTCTCTGCCATTATTGAAATAAAAAAGTTAGTAATCCACATTTAATAATAAAATAGATCATTAAAAATGTGGCAACATGGGATTGTTACCTTTGTTATGTATCAATGTTATATGAGATTCCTACCATGTTGGCAGTAATAGTTTCTTTTGTTTTTAAAATTCTTTTTTTTTCTCCTCTGTCTCTATGAACTCTAGTTGATTTCTTAATTGCCGAAGATTTGTCTTGTACTTCTTTATGGTGTGCCTCTAGTATTTGAATTTGTTCCAAAAGTTTTTTACTTTGTTCTGACTTCTCTTTTTCTTAGACATTATTGCTAAAAAATGTCCTCTCATATAAACTTTACTGTGTTCCCACATTGTAGCTATAGAGACATCACTTGTATTATTTAGTCTGAAAAATTCTTCCAGTTCTTCTTCCAACTTTTTCAAGATTCCTTCTTGTAAGAAAAGGTTGCAATTAAGTCTCCATCTTCTTCCTCCAACTTGTTCTTCCCGCCAGATTATCTCCAATGTGTTGTGGTCAGAAGGTATCTTGAGTTGGATCTTTACAGCCTCTAGACCCATAATTTAGTTTTTAGCTATCCAACACAAATCAATTATTGAGTATATCTAGTGTCTATCAGAAAAAAGAATAGCCTCTAGCTCTAAGATTTTTGCATCTCCTTCATCTTCTAAATGCAACATTTCCATATAATCAAGAACATTTTTAGGAAGTTTGTTCCCTGTTACAGTACTTTTTTAGACTTATCCTTGTTAGGGTCTATATTTCTATTCAAAACACCAATAACCAAAACTACTTCTTGAAAATTCAATATTGATTGAAAAAAAAATATATAAAACTTTCTTTTGCATCATTTGGAACATCTATCATTGACAATGTATTTGTCTTCCCATTCAGGAGTCTTATTTTCAAAACAATAAATCTTCCTTCTGGATCTTTTAATTCTCCTACAATTTTAAAACCTGCATTATCAATATAAATGGCATTTACTTTGTTTTTTTGTGTCAGCCAAGGTTTCATACATTTTGCCTAGCTTCTAATAGTTCAAAATATGAGCAATTTTTTTCTTGAATATGTATTACATCTGCCATTTGTTTTCTTAAAAAGTTGAAGCTTTAGTTCACTTGGGAGTTCATTCTATTGATATTTATTGATAAAATCTTCATTCTGTCTCTATTAGTCAATTAAGGAGTTTAAGCAATTGCCTTGTTTTCAAATTTATAAATATTTATAAAGCTTTTCTGATCTTCCTGCCACAGTCTTCAAAGTATCTTCTAATTCCTAGATTGCTACATTTTCTGTTGATCTCCATTTCTTTCCTCCATCAAATCTCCAACATCCAATTCAGACTTTCCCTCTTGAGTTTATTTGCCTCTCCCCCGGACACGTTGTCTTGAGCATTACAGCAACTTGCTTCAGCAGGGGACTCTGCTTGTTTTTCAACCCATATTTTCCAAGTCCAACAGGTGGCACCGATCTACCCCCACCCCCCCCCCCCTCATTTTAGTTCTGCCTTACAGCTTGGCCAGCCTGTTTCATTAATTCTTCCTTCGAAACTCAGGAGTGAAAGAAACCACAATTTCCCAAAATCTCAACTTTGGATCAGAGCTGTCTGAGAGGCACAATTTTTCTTCACAAGTCATGTATAAATCAAGTTCAAAAGCAGTAAAAAGGACAAAAAGGCACCTCCCCAGCTGAAACATCCAGCAGCTCCCACTACCAAAAAATGGCGATAAAACAAGGAGAGAGACAGGCGTTTCCCTCATTGCATGGGAACCTCAGCTGTATCCAAGTCAGTCTTGAGCATCCACAATTCTTAAGCAAAAACATCAGACAACTTTGCAGCTGCTAAGGTCCAAATTCAGATAAATCAAGAAACTGTCCACTCAGAACCCTTTCCAAATATGTAAACAAAAACGCCTTAAAGAATCTGAGTTGAAGCCAGAATCTCAGCCTTGGATAGGAGCTGTCCTGAAAGCACAATTGCTCTTCACCACAATTCATGAATAGCTCAGTTCAAAAGCAACAAAAAGGGTAAGCAAACTCCTTCCCAGCTCCTATTATAGAAGAACATCGAAAGCAACAGAAGGAGACAGCCATCTCTCGTCACACAGAAGTTTCAGCTGTATCAAGGTCAGTTTTCACTATTCATAATTCTTAGCTTCTCAAGCAAAGAATTGCAGGTGTTACGGTCTAAAGTTCAGATAAAGCATCATTAATCATCAGGATAATTGAATACATTATCTGTTGGTATGTCACCATTCTGCCCCCATCATCCTCCATGTTTCTGTGTACGTAACTAGAAACCTATAAAACACTCTGTATATGTTCTGGAAACTTCTAGTCAGTGGGCATACCTTTACCCGGCAGCACTGTTGTAAAGGTTTGCCTTTGCAGAGGGGTTTCCTGAGCATTCTTACCAATAAAACTGCTGAGGTTTGTAGCATGGACCTCTCCCTGTAGATCTGAGCATACAGTTTTGCGGCTGATCTTCCAGAAGCTCGACACAACTCATTGCTGCTGCCTTTGGGCACCCATTTGCCACTTGATGAGATGGGATTTAATAGTTTTTAAACAGGGGTTGTTCTTGTTTGTAACTGGGGGACTGGGTGTACTGATAAAAATGAAAGTGAAGGCTC